AATCTTGATTTCTTGCCTTATGGTAACACGAGTGCCCACCATGTCTTCCAAGTAGTTTAGCAACTTATCCTTACCTATCAATGTACTTTCCATCGACCAAGGTGCTTTGTCTTTATGCATTCAAATGAGAACTCATAGAACTCACATGCATAATTAACTCAATTGGAATGGCACAGAAACAAAATAATGTCAACACGATAGGTTGTAAACCTCAAGTCGTGTGCTAGAGATGATAAGGTTTATTCTTGATTTGTTCTTGAAACCTTTTTCAAGATCATTAAAACTCTCACTGACCTCTTGACATATATGATTCGCTTGTCAGGAAACTTTCCTAGACAAAACAAATATTCAAGAGTTAGTACGAAATCCTATCAAGACTAACACTTCACACAATTGGTCCTAGTTGGTCTTTGTCTTATCCAAGACATCACAACTTACCAATTTCAAATGTGTAGGAATAAGAATACCTTTTCCAATTCCACATTTGTTGAGTGTTATAAACCTACTAAAGACTTTTCACTCAATTCGCAATCTTGGAGTATAACTCTAAGACTTGATATTGGAATGAAGTATGATTGACTTCTTGATTTAAGCATTTCCACAATTCTCGATTCCTCTTCTTAGACATACAAATGCACTAAGACTCGCTTAAAGGATCAATCGAGATATGGTTCTTAATTATTAAGACTTATCATAAAACACAATAAAATGTACTCTCCCTTCTTCTTAGAATAGAGAAACTTTTATCTTTCTGCCTACTTGATTCTTCTTTATTCATTTTATTATTCATAGAAAGTCTTTCAATCAACTCAGAATTACACTTAATCTTATAAGTATAATCATATTTACTAAACTTTTAGTAAATCTTGACAAATATCTTATCTCTCTTTGTGGTGGACATGATCAACGCACAACCTAGTGTACTCGATCTCCTAGGCTTTCACTTGACACTTTGTCAAATAATTAGTCTAATTTCCAAATATGAAATTTCTCATTCATCACGCAACCAAGTTGTATGATTCCAAGTTTCCGTCCAACTGAAACTTGGGCGATGAGAAACTCTCCCTATTTGGTAAATTCTCAACATTTCCACAAATAACATAATTAAGAATCAAATTCATTATTGCTAATAATAGAAACCTTCAAACATCAATTTTTCATACACGCCATTGCAAGGATAAATAAATAAGATAAAATGAAATTTCATTTTATTGCGGAAAAAATTTGTCCTTACAATGCAATTCAATTGAAAAACTATGTTATTACATATTTCTTAGCAATCTATTTTAACTCCAAGTAGTAGCTCAAGAATCCAATCTTCAAGTAATGCGATCGAAATCCATTTCTTCACGATTAGATGCAGCTCACTTCTTCCCTTAGGCTTCCTCTCTTTTCTTCGATCCTATAAAACATCAAAATGTAATCTTATCACATCGTGTATTAAGAATCTAGAATAGGAACTTAAAAGAGTTAGATAATGGATTTTACCTAAAGTAGAGCCATACATCTTGACTCTCCCATCTCTTAGATCTCTCAGGTAGTTTGGGCAGCTTAGTCTCCAATGCCCCTTCTCTTGGCAATAAAAGCAAATGGACTCCTTTGGCACATCACATCGAACAATCACATACTTAATTCTTTCTGGACTTCCAATGTTGCCGGTGTCCACTGAAGTTTGGGAGTTTGACTCACTAGACAAATTTGCTTGATTAGCACGCCAAATCATTGCTGATTCAGCAGCTATAAGCAAATAGGTGAGATCAATGAGGGTCACATCGTGGTCTATCATATAGTACTCTCTTAAGAACTCACTATATGATTCAGGAAGCAACTAAAGAACCCAGTCAACAGCCAACTCCTTAGGGATGACAACACCCAACATACCCAACCTATCAATGTGTGACTTCATCTCTAAGACGTGTGCACACACAGACTTTCCATCTTCATGCTTAATTTCCAATAGGGCTTGAGTGAGCTTGAACTTTTCAATCCTTCGAACTTGTGGGTTAAGGATAACAATTGGAGGAGGTGGAGTAAGTGAAGCATGATTTCTTGTTCCTTGATCATATCGTGGAATATCATCTTCGTTTGGAAAACTTGTTCCAAAGGATTTGGGAAGACCATGATTGTCAGAACTAGACATCTACAAAACAGGAGAAAATTCAAGTTAAGTTGATTAGAAATCTTGATGTAACACCCAAATGAAACATCAAGGCTAGGATCCAACACAATACTCTACAACCTAGAAGAGGGATGTCGTATATTTGAAGGTAGGTAAATAATGATTTACCAATTTCCACCATGAAAAACGAAAAGGAAGTTTAAGTTTTAAATGAATTGAAACTCCTAGATCTTTTGAGATTCATTGAACTTTTCAATGGCATGTTTAATCTCGATTATCCCCTTCTATTTGTGACTGGGATGCCGAGGATCACAAATAAGGTGTGAATAACCATAAGAATCACGTGGTGCACCCAATGCTACTATCACCTAATCAATGTGCCGGTTAGCCACACAAGCTCCATTGATCTATGATAAGCATCGAGCCACCCTTCGCTACCAATGTCATCCTTAAATTAGTGTGTCGGTTAACCACACATGCTCCACTAACGTTTGACAAAGGTACGAAGTGTAATTCCATGGATTAGCATACAATTTCACATTTTGCCTAAAGTAACTATGATTTGGGAATTTGTAAAGGCATGTAGTTACTTTGTACTTCATTATACTTATAATGGAATGTTTCTATCCTATCCTACCCGTTCGACTAACGACCCTCCGCTAGTCAAGAGTGCGATGGGTAAGAGTGGATACCCATTCAATCGCCATTTTATAGGCAATTTCTTTAAACACCCCTTATAGACCAGCTTCGTGAATGAAGCCTACTAACGGTAAGACTGACTCTTTACTCATATATATATATATATATATATATATATATATATATATATATTATATATATATATATATATATATATATATAGGATATAGATCCGGTAAAAAAAATTTGATAGGAAGGTAAGACATTTTTTTTTGACTTATTTTTTTGGCGAAAAAAAAATGAATTACTAAATGAATCAATAATAACATGATTCATCAAAAAAAATCCCGAAAAAACATTTCGATGATTCATTTTTATGATAATTTTCTTGATATTCATTAAAATTATCATAAAAGTGATTTTTTTTCTTGATTTACCTAAAAATGAATCATGAAGATGTTTTTTTCGGAATTTTTTCTTGTGAATCATCTTACTTTTGAATCATCTAACGATTCATTTCAGTTTTTGCTAAGAAAATATGCATCTAAAAAAATTTCTTACCTTCGTACCAAAAATTTCCTTCTTATTTGATCTTGACTATATATATATATATATATATATATATATATATATATATATATATATATATATATATAGAGAGAGAGAGAGAGAGAGAGAGTGTGTGTGTGTGTGTATTTTACACTTTTAAAATACTAGGTGGTTTAATTTAATAAATTATACTTTTAATTTAATTAAATGTAAACCAAAACTTTATGGAATTATTAAATCTCTTTTAATTATACACTTTAATTAAATAATAAAACCATAAGGGTGTAATTTGAATTTTTCAAAGTACAAGGTTTTTAGATCTTAAGATTTCAAATTAAGACTTTTAATTAAAATTTAAAATCCAAAACTTGAGGGCAAGTTTTGAAACTTTTTCAAACTTAGGGTTTAGAATTTAAATATTTCAAAATTAAACTTTTAATCCAAATTTAAATTCCAAAACTTGAGAACAAGTTTTGAAACCTTTCAAAACATTAAGGTTTAACTATTTAAATTTCAAAAACAAAAACGTTTAAGTTCAAATTTAAACTATAAAACCTAAAGGGTGCAAATTGAAACTTTTCAAACTTACTAGGTCAAATATTTATTTAATAATAATCTTATATTATCCATATTTAACAAAATCCATTAATTTTGATAAGGATAAACATTCCAAACATAAAAAATCGATTTTAGCTAATAAAGACGAGTTTTGGTAATTATCCCCATCAAAATCTGGCCAGAAATTCGAAAATCCCATTAACAGAACAACCAACTCGTCGAGTCCTCTTTGGAACTCGTCGAGTTCATGCAACTCATCGAGTTCTTAGAGCAACTCGGTGAGTTCATCAGGCAATGAGAAAAAAATTCGATTTTCAGATCTTTAGCAGTCCAACTATGCATCTACTTAATAGAAACACGACCTAGGCTCTGATACCATTGATGGGATTTTGAGCAATACATCATTCCTATGGTGTACATGCAAACCCTAATAGCTTTTGGATCTAGTTTGTCTAATGAACATGCAATTGAATATCCAAAGCTATAAACCCTAGATCTAGCATACAGTTAATCATATTAACATAAAATAGGGTTTAGATCTAACCTTTGATTGTTATATAGCAATAACAATCTAATCCTTGGCTTCAGAAAGCTTAGTGCCTCAAGTGTTGCACCTCTAATGGAGTCACAAACACCACTAAGCAATTGGATGAAGGAGAGAAGAGAGGGGAGGTACCAAAAACGGCTGGAAACCCTAATCCAAGTGTTGGCCACGTTTTTGGTGCATAGAGGGCCTTTATATACATGTAGGCTATTAGGGTTTACAACTAGGAAACCCTAATCTGGCTGCTTAAGCCCTAAGCAGCCCATGGACTCCTTTAACATATCCCTTGGACGAATTCTTAATGGGCTTCCCATAGAATTCGTCCAACCAATATTATTTAGGTAATCCATAGCCCAATTGTAATTATCTTATAATTACAAATCCAGTCCCCTAAGTTTAATTAATCTCTTTTAGCCACAAAATTAATTATCAATTAATTCTTGACTAATATTAATTAAACAATATGATTTCTCCTTTAATATATTATTCTTATAATATATTAATAAATCACAATCAAACATTTCTCTCCTTAATTCATCCTACATATTGCTATGGTGAAGGCAACCCAAAAGGACCATGCTCATAATCGGGTCAAGTACATACCAAAATAGTTATAGACTTAGACACCAATCCACCAAATCCAACATACTTTCCCGGAGAACCCGTAAATACTTGTGCTACAAAAAAAGATTGTGATAAGAAACGCTCAATTTTCCGCGCTCTTGCTACAGTTAAACAATCCTCTTCGGATAATTCGTCCAATCCAAGAATAGCTATAATATCTTGACGTTCTTTGTAGCGTTGTAAAGTTTGCTTAACCTCTTGTGCAGTGTCATAATGTTCTTCACCAACGATCTGAGGTTGTAGCATAGTTGACATTGAATCTATAGGATCTACTGCTGGATAGATACCTTTGGCAGCTAATCCCCTTGATAGTACGGTAGTAGCATCTAAATGTGCAAATGTTGTAGTAGGAGTAGGGTCGGTCAAATCATCTGTAGGTACATAAACAACTTGAATAGAAGTTATGGACCCTTTTTTGGTAGAAGTAATTCTTTCTTGTAAAGAACCCATTTCGGTACTAAGGATAGGTTGATAACCCACAACGGAAGGCATTCTACCCAACAAGGTGGATACTTCAGATCCTTTCCCCGCTAGCCCATTGCTTTTTAAAGTTTGTGTAAATTTTGTTCCAATACATGAAGAATTTATTTACATTAGTCCACTCTGGGTTACATTGGTTATGTGTCCTATAATCTGGACTTCGACCCATACACTTACGAAACCGCTCTGTAACACGTATCCAAAATTTATCACACTTTTGGCTCTCCCGGTGGCGTTATCTTCGGATATCTCGACTTATGCATTCACTAATTTCATCTCTTTTTTTACTCCACCTTCTACTTTTAGCCTTCCCTTTTTTTCGGTTGAACTTGTTGTTCGGTTTCGGAACCGTAAGGATTTTCGATTAAATGTGTTAAAGGCGGTTGAGATTGAAATTGGAATTGGGTTTGTATTTCGGTTGGTGGTGTTCTTGGTGGTGGTCGGGATTGGAATTAAAATTATTGTGGCATTTGAAATTATGAATAGTAGCTAGGAACACCACCTAAGAACATTTGGTTTTGAGAGTAAAATGATGGATCAATTTGTGGCCAATAAAATGGTTAGAAGAGTTGGGAGCACTTTGGTTGTTGAAAGACATTTTGAGAGAATAAGGTTTGTATTTTGAGTGATATATATATATATATATATATATATATATATATATATATATATATATATATATATATATATATATATATATATATATATTATGAACTTAAAATTTAGTAGGAACCGTAAAAACTAATCTTAGCCGTTTATTTGGATAATTAAGTGGTTAGAAAAATCTAGTATTTTTCATTTTCTTTTAAATTTTGAAATGACATTTTATGTAATTTTTTCTCATATTCTTTAAAGACAAAACTTCAAACACGGTCCTTGTGGTTTCCGAAAATCTGAAGTTTAGTCCCTAATTTATAAAAACCTCACAGATGGTCTCTGTGGTTTCAAAACTTTTAACAAATTATCCTTTCCGTTAACTCCGTTAGCTTTTGGCCATTAAGTGAAGGGCAGTTTTGTTATTTCACTGCCACATGGATCATTTATGAAGTTTTATCTTTTTTTTTTAAAAGAGAAAAAAAATATAATTATTTAATATTAAAGTGTCTCACCCCCTCTCTCTCACACATATACACACATACACTTACTCTCTCTCTCTCTCTCTCTCTCTCTCTCTCTCTTTCTTTCCAGATCTTGTATGGATGGATGAGTGAACAATGTTTGACTGAAAAAGTCAAAATTAGATCGAGACCTTTCTTAATTGCTCTAGACACCATCTATACTTCTTCCACCCTCCTCACATCTGGTTCCGGTTCTTCTGCCAATGGAAACCATCTATTATCACTTGCACCAAATAATAATCGTACCTGAAATCATTAGTCAAAACCATATATAAAATCAAGCTATCAAACCTGAAATCAAAGCTCAAAACCATGCCAAAATAATACATGGAATCAAAGCTCGGAACCGAACCTTATAATCAAAATCGTAACCGAAAACAACATACATCCAAACCACAGAAGATGAAACTCGCTTGACACTTTGATTAATATCCTCTCTCTTATCTTAATCTCATGAGTTATTCAGCAACAAAGACGAAAGAAAACAACTTATATGATAAACTTGAAGAATTACAAATGTCTTCCACTTCGTTCAAGAATTTCATGAGAAGCAAACCATTAACCAAAACAAAACACCAAATATACACCATCAAAAATCAATAGACCAATTGATATACTAAATCTGAGCTATAGTTCTCACCTTGCTAATTTTAGGGACAACAGATTTGGGCATGTGAAGTCGGTGGGATTTTTTGCCCTAAATAGGAGAATACTCGTGTCCTGGTTCGTGGAATCTCGCATCGCTGATTTTGACCCAATTGAGAATTCCTTGTTCGTCTGACTCGAATAGAGAAAAGAAAGAGGGATGAGGGTACGGTGAGATGTAGTAGAAGTTATCGATTTCCACCATCTTCTTCACTATCCAATTTCGCTGGTGGCCTTCCAGGAGTAACCTACATCTTCCCCTGTTCTTTCTATGGCTAATGTCATCGATCAACAGTCACTGAAGGAGATATCCGAGTAGGGTAATCGTACGAGGGGGGTGATTAATCGTCGGGATCTGAAGGTGATTTGAAGAGGTCGGGATGGGAGATTGCTACTAGTAGGAGTGATAATTGACGAGATGAACCTTTTGATAGCTTTTGGAATCTTTGATTGCTAGATAGAAAAAACCCTATGGAAATTTGTTTCAGATCAGATGAAAAAATGGCACTAGGGGAGAGAGAGAGAGAGAGAGAGAGAGAGAGAGAGAGAGAGAGAGGTGGGACCCTTTAATATTAAATAATTATTTTATTTATTTATTTTTTTAAATAAGGCAAATCTTCATAAATGATCCCTGTGGCAATGAAATGACAGAATTGTCCTTCACTTAACAGCCAAAAGCTAACGGAGTTAACGAAAATGATCATTTGTTAAAAGTTTTGAAATCACAGAGACCATCTGTGAGGTTTTTATAAATTAAGGACTAAACTTCAGATTTTCGAAAACCACATAAACTATTTTTGAAGTTTTGTCTTTTTTAAATTTCCAAAGAAAGATTTGCGTTAGAACTTAAAAGTGAAAAAAGTGGAACAAAATTCAGGCAAGCTCACGATGCATCTCCCTCACTTATTTCTCTTTCCTGCACGTGTCTAGCATTGATTTGCTGTGTTTTATTTCTTTTTTCACCTATTTTGTATTTCGGTCCTAACTTTTTTTTTTTAATTTTTTTTTAAAAAACAAAAGTTGTTGAAATTTAATTTTCTATAAAATTAATTTTTAATATTTATAAAAAGATCCAACTTTTTTTTTTCAAAAATTAAAAAAATTTAAGGAATACTACTACTCACTATACTAGTGATTTTGTACAAAAAAAATTAAAAATAAATTATTTTAAATACCAAAGTTGATTTTAAAAGATTAAAAGTTTTTTACAAAAATGTTGAACATAATATGATCCAAGTAGAGATGATTTAAAATATTTATGATTCAAAATATTATGATTCAATATGTATATAATCTTTAAATTGTTATGATCTAAATATATTTTGGTTCAAATATTTTATGATCGCTTAATTATTATATCTTTTACGATTCAAAAAATATAATGATCCAAATGTTGTATCAAAATCTTTATTAATTCAATATATTATGATCCAAAATCATATGATTTATAAATAATATGCTTTAAATTAGGGAGAATTTCATATATATCCTTGTAAACTTTAAATATTACGTTAATATCCTTATAAAATTTAATATTACATATACGTCCCCTTAAAACTATAGAATTCACGTCTATATCCAAATTCATTTATTAATTAGGATTAAACCTATTTAATATTTAAAAACTTATCTAAAACTCAATATCTCATATAATATTACTAAAATATCCCTCCAAATTAAATATTAGAATGAAAACCAATTTATTAACGATTAAACGAATTAAATTAGGATTATCTTCCGTATCATTTCTTCTTCTTTTAGGTTCCTAAATTTAAAGTATAATAATACAAGACAAGCTTGTATGGACACATATAGAACATATGGGTTCGAATGATTGTGAAAATATGAAGTATATTACTATATTATGTAGCAGTTTTACCTTTAACACATCCTTTTCCATTCTAGTTTTTGGAAAACTCATTTTGGAATTTGAGCCAATTGTTGAAGAAGAACACATAATTATCGATTTGAAGCACAACACTTTAGATGTATGTAAAAAATTAAAGAATCCATACAACAAAATTAATCGATCCATAAAATCTTTTTGGAAAACTCATTTCTAATCAAGTGATCTATCATATTCTCTATTGTTTCCTATTCTATTTATCTCAACCAAAGCTTTTCATTTATTATCATATTTAGAATTCCAAAACCTAAACCTAAAAGGAGAAAAGCAACGCATGAGATTCTAATTAAATTGGTTCAACGTTAAATTTTATTTAGGAAGGACAGTTTAGTATTATCATATAATATTTTCTATTTTAGATCAATTTTTAAGTATTAAATTTGTTTAATCCTAATTAAAATATAAATTTGGATATAAACGTGAATTCTATAGTTTTAGAGGATATATATGTAATATCAAATTTTATAAGGATACTTACGTAATATTTAAAGTTTGTAAGGATATATATGAAATTCTCCCTTTAAATTATTATGATCCAAAATGATATGATCTAAAATTTTATGATTCAAAATGATATAATCCAAATTAATATTATCCAAAAATATATGATGCATAATATCGTTATGATTCGAAACTTTTTACAAGGGTTAAACATCACAATGATATTTAAAAAAAAATAAAAAAAGAAAAAAGAAACGAAAAAACAGAAAAACCGAGTATATATTGATGAAAAAAAACTCATATATATATATATATATATATATATATATATATATATATATATATTCAAAAAAAAACTTGAAAACCAAATATACTATTACCTAAAAAAAGTATATTTAAAATAAATATAAAAAATAAAAAATACCATATGGTAAAATCATACATCCTAAGAGAGTTGGGTAAAAGCACGTAATATGCCGTTATTGGTGAAATGACATCTCTTAACCTAGTTATAACATAAGAAAGAACACATTTTTTTCATATTAAACGGTATTATATTTGTTGTATCGTATTATATTTGTTGTATCGAGAACATGCGTCAACTGTTATAACATCTTATAACATGTATCCTCTCACATTTCTAGTTATTGTGTTAGTAGTGTGATGTGAAGTATAAAATAACAATTTTATGGTGTTATAACATTTATCATCTCACATTTCTTTTTTTTCTATCTTTCCGTATCCGGCTCCTAACTCGTTATAACATCTTATAACATTTATCATCTCACACATTTCTAGTTATTGTGTTAGTAGTGTGATCTGAAATATAAAATAACAATTTTATGGTGTTATATAGCACCAACCCATACCTAGTAATCTAATAAAATATAAAATCAATTTGATTTACGGTGCCACGTGTACTTTCCAAAACAGTCGTCCTTTGACAACATTATTGTCACGTTGGCTTGTGGACCTCTAACAAAATGGTTGCCGGTTGTTCTAAATCATATTTAAAGCATTTTCGTACCCACAAATTGCAAATTTCATTTCCGTTAATAATTCCCTTAATAAATTCTAGTATTGGTACTACTAGAAAATGAAACTATCTCCCCCACACTATGAAGTACTAATAAAATAAAACCCAACTAGATATCCAAATGCTAGCCATATATATTATATTATATACACAATTACAATTAATGGTTAATGTTTTTACGCCGTGTTCCAATTATGGTTTCTCATCTTCTCCAACTCCAACTGTTTCACCCGATCCACCAAATCTTGGATGGTCGTTGTTGTCTCCTGCAAAATTAGAGAATGTCAGTATTATTATTTTTCTAGGTTTTATTATGCACCTCAACCACTAGCCAGATAAAGGAAAAAAGACCAAAACCTTTAATTTTTTTCTTAAAGTCTCCTCCTCCTTGTCTCGTCTTTCTCTTTCTTCCGCAAATACGTCTATTATAGATTCTTGCTCCTTGTTGAGAGCTTCACACTTTTCCTTCACTTCCTCAAGCTAATTACAATTCACAGTTACATTTAATTCGTATATAAATTAAATTACATTTGTTATTTTGACCAAACCCATAACAAGAAACATCAAATACCTGTGCTTCAAGTGCCTTGCAACGAGCTCGTTCGTTTTCTAGTTCATGAAGTAGATCACCCAAGATTGCGTCTTCCTTTCTTTTCAACCTACGAGGATTACAACAACCAAAAAAAAAAAAGGTAAATTACATTTTTGGTCCCTGAGTATAGCTGATTTTTGCAATTTTGGTCCTTATTTGAGGTTTGCATAAATTAGAGATTTTAAGTGACATACTTCTCCTTTAATTGGCGATTCTCTTCCTCCAACTGATCTAAATCAAGTGTGCTATAGTTTATAGGAACGCTTCCATTTTCACCAAAAATGGGCAACTGCAAATCAAAAATTGCATTGCATGTAATGCACAAATCGTCTGGTAGAAACAGAAGATGAGTGTATAAAAGTTTTTAAAAAAAGTTACATTTGATGGATGAGAATGAGACTGAGTAACAATTTGCATAGTGTTTCCATAACCATAATGAGGACTGCTTTTAGTATAGCTTGTATTTACAGGATCTTGCAAGTCATCTTCATGGATATTTTCGGTCTTCAAAGGTTTTGACTCCCCCCCGATGCCATTGACAGCTGGCATCGGAGGTCTGCTTCCCGCCACTTTCTGGTTTTTATTTAAAGCCGATTTGTTTGAAGCTTTCTTCCTTCTTGAAGAAGTTTCCGGGGTATAGTCAGGAGAAGCTTCTAGAATCACAAAAAAAAAAAAAAAGGAAACATAAAGAATCAGCTCGGCTGATTTGGTTTTTCTCTGACATGGATATGATAGAACATAACAGAACAGGTTGTACTGGATTTGACATACCACTGTCGTGCAAACTGCTATTACTGATTCGTGGGGCATACCCAATTTTGTGGCAGTGGGTCCTCCAATACGTTTTTTGCATCTGTAAAAGACGCGATTCGAGTCTTGAAAGGACAATTGTTCGTTCAAATCCTTGTTTGTCATGAGCTGGTTCTACAAAATTAGCCTCCAATACACCTAATCAAACACCAAGAAAATAAAAATAATTATTCTTTGCTACCATATAATATATATATATATATATATATATATATATTATATATATATATAAATAAAAATGATTATAAAACTAAAGAAATATATTTATATGACCTATTACTCCTCGACCATCACTTCCTGTTGAATTCCAGAGTCTCCAAAACGGCTGTAAAACAAGAAAATTCCAAAGCCACTAATTTAACAAAAGAGTATATTTCATTTTTGGTAGCTGATAGTTTTAGTTTGAGTAAATTACACGAATGGTCCCTATGGTTTTGGTTAATTTGCACGTTTGGTCCCCAACTTATTTTTTTAACTCGGAAGGTCCCTACAGTTTGTTTTTGTTGCGGGCTTGGTCCATTTCTTACCTAAAAAGACTATTTTACCCTTGATTTTTTAATTTATTTGAATAAGGTGGGGTAGATAAGGTAAGTTCAGGTGAGGTGGAAGTGGGGTTGGGGCAAAATAGTCTTTTTAGGTAAGACAGGGACCAAGCGCGCAATAAAAACAAACTGTAGGGACCTTCCGATTTAAAAAAAAAAATAAGTTAGGGACCAAACATGCAAATTACCCCAAAACATAGGGACCATTCGTGTGATTTACTCTTTTAGTTTTGTCCCCAAAATGTTTTCTTTTGCAATTTCAGTCCTTATTTGAGGTTTTTACTTGGAACAGAAACCAAAAATGTTAGAAGAACAGAGAAAACTTTGTGGGGTCAAAATTGAAAAAATCAGGTATATGAAGGGACTAAAAATGTGATTTACTCTTTATAAAAAGTTGGGAGTTAATGTAGTTGACTTTCGGACCTTAATGAGTCGATTTTTATGATAAACATTGTATCCTTGAACATCAATATGAGATTTTGCATCCTTCACAAACCCCATAGTAACAACAGCAACTATCTGTTCATTGAAAACAAAGAATATCAGTAAAATAGCAACTTGAAAGGATAAATAGGAAACAAAAAATTATTAAACAAATACAAAAATTACATTTGTATCCTTGGAAACCACATCAGCACCAGGCTGTGGACGATATGTGACCTCAGTTATCATCATCATATCATTTACAATATTATGATGCTCAACATCTTTCCCACGAAGAATCATCCGGAATCCAGGTGGAATTCTTAAGTAAAGAATCGATGCGTAACTCTGAAAAAACAGTTTGAGTGAGAGTAAATGACCATTTTACCCTTACATCAATGAAAAGAAGGGCAAACAGGTAAAAGAATGAGCACTTACTCTCAGTGAATGTCGATATGTCAGGAAGTGTTTAGAGTTTGGAAACTTATTGGCCATTTGGATATTCTTCTCATCTCGATTAACACCTCTAATTTGAATATCCTACAACATTAAATGTAAATTAAACTCATTTAATCCAAAACCATTTTAAAAATTTGTGTTCAACTGATTTAAGGTGGAAAAGAACAAACATTTTTATCAGTCTCGAAATCGAGTTCCAACTGTCCTTGATCATCCTCCCATAAATTGTAAATAATTATGCGTGTGCCCTGATCCTTCATATGATCAAACTGCAAGATGAAAAATGTAAAATAAGTTAATAACATATAAAAATGAACACGTGGAATAAAAATGAAAAATAAAATCTGACCTGTTTTAAAAGTTCTGTTTCACTTGAAAATGGAGACCATTGAACCATAGCTTCCATATTTTTCTCCCAATCACCCAGTGATGACCTTATTATATTCTTCCATTCGCGAACACCTTTCTCATAATCAAGCTTTTTACATTGCAATTTTATTAAACAATAAACACCATAAATATAAGAATATAAAAAAGATAAATGAAATTGTAAGCATATTTACCATGGGAACAACTATATCTTCCTTCCCAGTGCACCGTAGAAATGTGTAAGACAATAGGCCAATGGTTTGTGTAGGCCTGCGAGTAAATTACATTTTTGCCCCCCAAAAAATATAGTCATTTATTTGGAATAGGGAACAAGACGTTAGAAAAAACTCAAATAAGGATCAAAACTACCAAACCTTGTTCCATCTTTTGGAGAGCATCGAGAGAATACAATAACATCAGCCCCAAGCCGCATGGTACTTGTCTTAAAACCATTGCCATCTTTCAATAATTAGACAAACAAAAATTATAAACTTTCTCATAAAAAAAAAAAAAAAAAAAACGGATGCTTTTTATATAATTTCATAGGAAGTTCACTTACATTGTCCAATAGCATCTGCAACCTTGCTTTTCAAAGAATATCCAAGAGACATGCATTGTCGCATCTTATCAGGGTCCATCCCTCCACCATTATCTATGATAAATAGTGGAAAGAATATTTATCATCCATTTATTTATGTAATATTTAATAAGGTTATGTTAGTAATAGCATAGGCAACATACCTTCAATGAGCAACATTCTATTTCCATCTTTCTTGTTTGTTAACATATCAATGTTGACATATGTAGCACCATTGTTGATCTCATCTAATGAATTGTCTAAAAGTTCAGCAAAAGCTGTATGAACAGTGAACACACTAATTATGATATGAAATTTATATACAATTAAGCAAT